GGTATGTGGACTACTCGTGATGGATTCAGAGACAGCCATGAATGTGTATCAAACATGCTGCATGTAATGCAACAGTGAACTGAGTTCTGGATTTTGTTGACTTTATGTTAGAGGGGAAAGTGTATGTAGCTTCCTAAACTTAAGGCCACTGTCGGAAAAGATGTAAATGACTGTCCAAAATGTTCTGATTTCTGCTTATGATTTTATATATTACATGAATATCATTAATAATAAATAAGATAGATGTAAAGACTTGATTGGGTAAAGTATAAAAGTTGGGTATTTGGTCACAGTGACAAAGGGCATTTCATCCTTACTGTGAAGTTCCTGTATTAATGGGTATGAACATTCAGTGTTGCTGCTATAATATAATTATTTTTAAAAACTTTTTGTTAACATACGTATGACAATGTTGCAATTTTAGCATAACCAACTTGAAATACTGGGGTCGCAGTGAGCAAATAATTTCGAAGACCTTACAGCTGTTGAATGACCTTTCAGTGGGCTACAGCTGTGTCCGCAAGCTGGTAAAACTGGAGGAGGTGCAATTCATGCTCAACAACCACACGGTAAATAACAAGTGTTTTAATCAGTTCTAGTTACTAGTTGCTATGGTGACTTAATATTTTAATGCTCTCTCATTTAGCTGAAATCTTTTGGGTTGTTGGTCTCAACCATGATTCACATGCCTACCTGTCCAGTGAACTTTTGTTTTCATCCACAAAAAGCTGTTAATAAACATTTGGCTCAATAGACAAAATGTTCATGTGTATGTGAGGTAATAATAATAGTAACGGTATATTAACTAATGATCATTGAGCCTAACTGAGGATGCCAAATATTTCATATCAGATGTGATGACTGTATTTTATCAGTGAAATGAAAAGTGATTGTTTCTTTGATTGACAGATGAGGAAGGAAGAAGTTTACATGAAATTAAATTTCTATTCAAGATTTCTCAAGTTATGCAACGTTTTAATTACAGGGAGGTAATTCAGCTCAAACGTTATGATCATATATTTTAAAATGTGTATTGTTATTTCATGTAGAGTGAACACTTCCCTTTCCTGGGTAACAGTGTGGCTGTAAGTGAGATGAGGTGTCGATCCATGTTTTATACATCTTTAGGCCGCCTCCTTATGGTTGACCTAGGAGAAGATGAGGATAGATTTGATGGCTTCATGCTACCTCTAACAGGTAACAAATTGCATGGAGTCTGAATTGCAATAATTTCAGTTCTTATAAAAATTCTAATAACTCAGTTGAATATGTTGTCTGACAGCTGCGTTTGAGTCGATCGGTACGATGTTGGCATCAGCTGAAACTCCAGTGTTTGCAGCTGAAGAAGCAAAAAAGGCACTCATAGGACTGGCACGTGATCTTAGGGGGCTAGCATTTGCCTTCAATACAAAAACTTCATATATGATGCTTTTTGATTGGATGTATCCTTTTAAATAATTATCACAACTTTATTTTATAGTAAGACTTGTAAAACATGTTACAGCTCACAGAAGTGCCATGTTTTATGTATGCATTTTGTACTTTTAGGTTTATTTTCATCATGAAAATGTGAATGCTTTTGTCTCTCTACAAGGCCATACAATTATAATTATTTGTTTTTAGTGGAACACTCATAATCAACATAGTGCATTTAATTGTCTCATTCAAGCAAAGGACAAGTAAAACAAAATATGCAAATTTGGTAGTGGCTGGTTTAATTCTGCTTGGATGCAGTATTTTGGCAAATGTAGTCTGATGTTAATAATTAGCATTAGCTCCACGCTGGATAGTAGAAAACTGAGAGCTGGTTAAGCAATAAAATGTCTTCTCAGTACTAATAATATACATTATTCTGTTTATAAAGTTGTAGTTAAAATATGTATGGAACATATTTCTTTTTATTATAACATAATTTCCTTGACTGCAATACAGTTATCCCAACTATACGCCAATTCTCCTTCATGCAGTTGACCTGTGGTATCATGACCCTCAGGTCACAACTCCAGTCTTAAAACTCTTTGCTGAATTAGCTCAGAATCGATCACAAAGGTTGCAGTTTGACGTCTCATCACCAAATGGTATTCTCCTGTTCCGTGAAGCCAGTAAAGTCATTTGCAGCTATGGTGAGTTCAGTAGCACTTTTTTGTTTACCAAATAGAAAACTAAAAATATCTATAACTTTTACTTATGATACTACCAGGCTTCAGTAGAAAATACATTAACAATGAGCTGAAATTTTATCTGCATCTGAAATGTTCTTCAAAATGTACATGTTTGAAGTGACCTCCAGTGCTATAATGTCTATATCAGAAATGTTTTTGTACACATTTTACATTGCTTTAAGCCAGTCACTTTATGAAAGCATCTTATAATTTATTTTTTCTGCATCACAGGCACCCATATTCTGAGTGTGGAGGTGCCCAAAGACCAAATATATCCTATGAAACTTAAGGGTATATCTGTCTGTTTCTCCATGCTGAAGGCTGCTCTATGTGGTAACTATGTCAACTTTGGAGTGTTTCGCCTCTATGGGGATGAGGCTCTTGACAATGCATTAAATACATTTGTGAAGCTTCTGCTGTCAATACCGCAGTCAGATCTACTGGTATGATTAAATGCTTTCTTTTTTTAATATTTTTTTAGTGAACTGTGATTGCTTGTGTAATACATATTCTTTCTTTTTAAAACAAAAGCAAGGTTTATCGGTGCATTAACTAGATACAAATGACTAACTACACTGCTCCATGGAACAGAGTCATCCTTGAGAAGCTAGCTGTTGCTCATTTGTGCAAGAAATTTCCCTACCCTTTATGAAACCTGTGTTCACAAAATCTCACCATTAGACCAACAGTCCATATCCTAAGCAGTGACATGTTCATTTTTGGGAATGAAAGGTTGTTGGCCCTCACCCAGTCCCCAAGCTTTAGGGCCACGTTTGTCACTTGCAACTGCTTATTCATTATATTTACAGCTGTTGTCAATATCTGAAAGTCATTGCCATGTAAGTTTTTTTAGTTTCTATTGTTTTTAGTGTTTGTCTAGTAGTGATCTCACATGCATTACAAAGAAATACTGTTATAAACAATTCTTGTCAACATTTATATCCATATTATTTTATGTCTGCTGCGCAATACAAATCTATCAACTTACTTAGATCAGCCTTGTTCTTGTTTTCTGAAATGCATACACTTAAGTGTGCAGAGAAGAGGAAGTTGTGCTATTAGGTGTTTTTCATCTGTATAACTAGATTTTGTCAAAACATCGTATCTGATCAGTTGTCCTTGTTTGTTAGGATCTCTTAACAAGTGTGCCGACTACCTTAAATTACGAACTGAGCTGTTTAGATGGCCAGAATATGCCTTTACTATTAACTCTCTCTCTTTCTCTCTCTCTCTCCCCCCCCACACACACAAGCAGAGGGCTAATAATACTTGTTACAAACTATACTGTATGTGTTAATCCTATATGGCATGGGTGTTTGTTTTCAGGACTATCCAAAGTTGTCTCAGACATACTACGTGTTACTCGAGTGCTTGGCTCAAGACCACATGAGTTTTCTGTCAACACTTGAACCCCGTGTGTTCCTCTACATTCTGTCCTCCATCTCGGAGGGACTTACAGCTCTAGGTGCGAACCTCAATTTTTTCACAGGTACAGTCGCAGACAAATCCTCACATGACCCTGTGCTGTTGCTCATCATTGGTTCTTACTGTGTTATCCAGTTTCATATAGAAATGATGGCCATAGCACTGATTTTATGCTAATTTCTGTATTTGCCATTTAGCATGATCCATGGTTATTGAATTTTATTTTGTGATTCCTCTCCTGTTCACAAAAGAAAACAAAATGGAGAAGAAGCGAGAAAGGAACATTTGAAACATGTGATCATTTCCACTGTGTTTAAAAGCATGATTGATTGTAAGGAAACACATCTTGTAGAAAAGAATGCACTTGGAGGGGTCTAGTTGGATGTGTCTGTGACTGTACTTTTGGAAGCCTTTACATTTTCACCAAGTATCATACTTTCTTATGATAGTTTATGTTGAATATTGTTTTGTGAAGTCTTTAAGTTTCTTAATATTCATAAATCTATGTGGAACTGTCTTTATATTTGCATGTATGTTAGGACATTATGATTGACACTTCCTTCAGTTTCTCTGCAGATTGGACTTTTGGAGTAATTTTGTATCCTTGACCACACAGAGCTTGCATTGCTCTTTGCATGTATAAAAGATGTGTTCAGACATTCAGTTTTGCATGTGGATGTCTTATAATTATTATGAAGTCCAAAAGTATACTGCATTATGTACAGTAACTATGGTATACTACTGATGTCACACTTTTTGTGTTGTTCTAATTATCCATGTCATAAGTCTTGCAGCAGAATAAATTGATTAGTAAAACAAAAATTAATATTCCCTAGCCCTCCTGCCCGATTCATAAGCATCATACTGTTTTTTTTTTGTAGCAACACCAAGAAAAGTATAGTCACCCACAGATAGCCTGTCAATATGTACAGTTAACTGTACTGGGTTCTCTAGTTAGGCGTTGATTTCTGTAGCTGTAGTTCCTGTTTCAATAAGTATTACAAGCAGATTTTGTGTCTCATTGCAGATACTATGGTTTGTACTGGATGTTGTGCTACGCTGGACCATATTGTTACGTACTTGTTCAAACAACTCACACAGAAAGGTATGGATATTATTTTATTTATTAAAAGTTGTAAAGAAATAAATTGATAATATAGAAAGTGTTACAACTGCAAAATCTGAATGTGCTCTGCTATTGGTTAATGAACCATTAATGTAAGCATGAAGTACAGAGGAATTTGTGAAGCTAATTGCACTTCAGATTGGTAATTTCAATAGAGTCAGAATTGTTTTTTTTGTATATTATTAAACATTCACCATAGTGAAAAATATTGCAAATACAAGTTGTATATTTTGTCATATATCAGTTGTTTGTGCAAAGTTTTGTTGTATATAAATAAAATTTGTGAAATTTCATGTTGTCGTAGTGGCTGTCTTCTGGGATGTTGTGCAGTGTAGTAATAGATTGACATTTTGGAGGCGCTTATTGCCTCCACCACCACCGTATTTCTATCTACCAGTTACATTTTATACTGCCAATTTAGCAATAGGCCTCTTTGTAGTCTACTCTTTGCCAAATTTTAATGTGGATGTACTGTTTAATGTCCAAGGTGTAACATGTCCCTTCACCATAATAGAAGTTCTTTAGTTACATTTTATATTGTAGGTAGGCACAAAGAACCTGAGACATTGTTTTACCTCTAAACGCAATAAACAAAGAAGAGTAATCTCATTGTTGAATAAAACTGTGTATCAAAATTTTCTTGAATTGAGATGGTATGTAGTGTCAGTGAAGAGAAGAGGTTTTATTTTCTCCATATTCTTCTATGGCTCTCCGGTCCGTATTCGGTCAATGGCCTCAATTCTCCTCTTCCATTTGGTCCTCTGTTAGGTCCGTCTGTCCGAGGCTTTGATCGAGGTTTCAAAACATCTTCCTTGTTAGCCTCGTGACCAACCCCCAACCTTGAGGACCAGGGCACCTGTCTTAGTCTGACCTCTCCCCCTTGACCAATCTGGTTAGGGAGGCCCTACAAGTAGCTATGCTACCTCCAGCGTAGCTCTTGGGGTCACTGAGGTACTCTAGCCCCACCACCACGACAAGGTGCAGGTATCATTAAGTGGGGATTTTCTCCATATATTTCTGTATAATTGAATGTGAATAATGTTGAATTTTATTTAAATAACTTACAATGATTTTCACAGGAAAGAAGACTCGGAGGGGTGTACCAACACCCAGTGATATGTTCTTGCAGGTTCTTGAACTCCATCCGGAGATATTGCAACAGATCCTGAGTACTGTTTTGAATGTGATTATGTTTGAGGATTGTCGTAACCAGTGGTCCATGTCACGACCTCTATTAGGGCTCATACTTCTCAATGAGGAGGTATGATATCTGAAGTATCATAAATCAGTTTATTTGATATGAATTGAGAGGTTTATGAGATTTAAGTTTGAACAAAAAGAAGAAGCCTGCTCTAACATTTTGTGTTACTGTAACATGAACACATGAGAAGACAAAATAATATTGGGTGTCTTTTTAACGGAGAGAAACATTAATCACAACACAAAATATCCATTTCACTAAGATTCTGCATTATTTTTTTTGTGCCTACACTAATATTTGCATAACAAACATGTTTAACACTGCAGAAGAAGGCTATATAATAATAATGAAACAATGGAGTTACTCAATTTTGAAACTAAAGTTTGCTGTAATATTTATAGACCATCTGACAGACTGAACAAATTCATCAGAAATGTAGTCTCTCTTTGAAAATTCTGTTCGTATATTCTAATCACCTGTTATCGTGTTTTTGTGTAACGCTTTCAGTATTTCAACCAGTTGCGTGAGAACATTATTCGCAGCCAACCACCAGACAAACAGGCTGCTATGGCCCAGTGGTTTGAGAATCTAATGGATGGCATTGAAAGGAACTTGCTCACAAAGAATCGTGACAGGTTAGTGCCGTACAATATGAAAATTTTGGTTTGTATTGAGTCTTGTTTCTTTTTGTGAATAAACAAGTGAGGTTTTCTGTTTTAATTTAAAAATATCTATGCTACATGAGAGTGCTGCAATATATGTAACAAACAGTTTATTGTGTAAAAATATTATTTACTTTATAGCACACTTTCCATAATCCAGTATTTTTTGTCATGTAATACAGTACTAAATAAGCACTGTGGTTCCTTCAACTCCATTAAAAGCCTGCAAGAAAATAATCCAAAATTACTTTAATGATGAGTTTATGCCATAGTGTTCACGCACATCAGTCAAGTTCATCAGGAATAAACGCAGGTCAGTGTGATGAATGTCTAGAAACATACATTCCACACCTTTCTGATCACGTTCTGGTGTAAGTAAACTTGCGTATCCTTAAAGCATAGGCATCGGCTGTCAGTATTAATCTTTTAGGTATTTCCATCTGTTTCATTGTCATATATGTGGGTCCTCAGTCAGTAATTTTATGAAGAAACGTAATTCTGCCTGTTTCAGGTTTACACAAAACTTGTCCATGTTCCGAAGAGATATAAATGACTCACTGAAAGGTCCAAACATGACTGCAGCATCTGTCAGTGACATGATGACTTCATAGTCATCGTATCATTCTTCTAGCCAGCGAATGAATGAATGAACAACAGAAAGGTTTATAGTAGGGATGCCAAAAGATAGAAATGTATTGATGCCATACTCCCTCCTAAAGATCAAGGATGTTACAGCTAAATGATATACACCATATTTTTTCTTCTTCATTGAGCATTTAAAGATATTTTTATAATCTGTTTTATTTTATTCTGGAGTATGTTCATGTAAGAAAGATTTACATTAGTAATGTTCCTTTTTCCGTTAATATAAATCCACCGTGCAGGCTTTAAGCATGTTGAATGGATTTTAAAAAGAAAGATCAAGTGGTTGTATAGTGAATGCTGATTGGCATCTCTATTATTTAGCATGCGAGTTTGCGTGCTGCAAGCATGTGTAGGAGTGAGATTATTACTGTGAACATTCAGACATTTGCAAGTGTAGTTTCAGCAAGGACGAAGAGTGGTTTACACAGCACACTTTTTTTCCAGACTCCCGTGTGCTTGAGTCACAGTGTTCTAATCGGTGTGAGTGCGTGTCTTACCATGTGTACGTATATGTGCGAGAAAAAGGTTGAAAGATGGTATGAATTTCATCGCCCCTGTGATCCAGCGCGAAGATATCGAAGATGATAAATCTGAATAAATTTTATGATGAATAATATTAGGAGGAAAAGTACAGATCACATTTGGTAACTATTACTGTATTGTATGTATGCAAGCAAGTATAAATGAAAGATTTATGATGTCACATTTGTTATTATTTCTATAGCTTGTTCCAAAATAAAGAACTTGCAAGAACCAGGTGCTGTTCATTTTAATTAAGCAGTTACAGGATCCTGTGATGAGAAATATGTAAATATTTTTACATTATATCAGAATTTGGGGTCCGCAGTGGCCGCGCGGTCTGAGGCATGGGCCTTGTGCCGCTTGGTCGCTGGGACCATGGGTTCGAATCCCACTCAAGCCATGGATGTTTGTCCGCGTTTTTGTGTGTTGTGCTGTCCTGTGTATAGGTAGAGGCCTTGCGACGGGCCAATCCCTTGTCCAAGGAGTCCTACCGAATGTCTATAGATCGAGCCAATGAAAAAGTTGGGACCCGCAGTGCTCAGGCACTTGAAGAACGGGTCGTTCCCAGTAACCAGTCCAGTATCAGAATGCAGTTTAGTTACATTGCTCTCTAAATAAAAATAGTGGAAATAAATGAATGCTCAGATACTTTGAGATTGTCAATTCACCTTCTAAAGTAAAATATATTTCTGGCTTTTATATCTGTGATCAGAGATGTTTATTCTGATAATTTGTAGACAGAAGTATCTGATGCAAGTGTAGGTGAGTATTTTCATTCAGGATGTACTGTGTAGATACCAACATCATAATTTATGGTAGGATTTAAGATTTCTACTGTGGTGAGTATGGGCATAGCTATCTTCTGGGCTGTGGTGCTATGTAGTCTGGTACATTTACTAATGTGTCAAGAGGACTTTGCTGTCACCTTCAAAAGGGCGATGAGTGCAAGGTTCGCTCTTCTGGGTTGTAGTGCCATGTAGTCTGGTAAAAGTTTCCAATGTTTCACAGATCCTTGCTGCCTCATAACCTTCTCCATTTTGCACCTTGAACATGTGGCACATGAAGGTGACAATGGATCCACTTAATTAATATATACAATTTTTGTTCTTTGATTTTTATGGATTGGGCCCTCTGCCTTATGAACTTGACCATGTGCATGAAGGAAAAGCCCTTCATAAGGCTTCCACCTTCACAGGAAAGCATAACATTGTAAAATGTAGGCAGAAATTTATTCCTCAATTTGTATTTGACCCATGATTCCAGTGTTAAAGCAGACCAGTCAATGCATGGTAAGTACAGACACTTGAGGAAATAAGTAAAGAGTCACATTCAGCTATTAATGGCACATGGTTTATTTGTTTCATCCCTTGAGAGGTGATGCTTCCCCAGTGTGACCCATTCACGTGAATGTTTGTTTACAGATCTGCTGTAAATATGACCATCCTATTGGAACTCATGAATTTGTGTAATTTTATTTAGATAACTTGTGAGTTGTTGCTCTCGTAATTACACGCTGGAGAAAGTAACGGTAGTTTATGCGATGTTTTCTGGAAGACTGGTATGTTGGTTCTCTCTCATTTCTCAGTTTTGTTGTTTACATTTGTTTAATGACTGTCAAATGGCTGTAGGTTTAGTGGGGTACAGTTCGGTTATGTTGACGAGACTGCAATTCCCCATAATGAATATTCGTCGATACAGCTTTTGTATTTATTGCCTAAACGTGGAACATAACGTCTATATAGCAAATTCGGTGTTTGTGTTACTGATTAGGATTATTAATAGAATTTATAGTTGGTAATGGAATTATTCAGATGTATTGCTTGTTTGAAGCAGGAATCGAAATAACATTTTGACTGTTTGCGATATTGACGTAACATCCACATCAAACCACCGTAAGTCGGGAATTCCAACATTGCATCCGTCTCGATTTTCCTGTCTCTGTAACCTTGCCGCCTTGGGCTAGTCAAGATCGCATCGTTCTTTGTTACACAGGAACTAAAGATGAACAGATTGTGAAGCGAATGGAAAAGACCGTATTGTGTTTCCGTCTGAGATGGGACGAATATTGTGTTATGTATGCTGCATTTTATTCATCTTTCAGTCTGGTGAGTATATTTGACTAGTTGGATGAAGTTTCTCCAAGTGCTCGTCGTACGCCTTCTTTCTGAAAGGAACAAGGTAACGGAGAGCATTATGTGAATTTAGTACTTATAATTTTTTCCGCTTAGTTTTCTATGAATGGGATAGAATTTATTTATATTTCATAGATCCTTCATAGGCTGAAACCAAGTATGTAAACGTCATAGCACAAATACTATCCTTGTTTCTAATATAAATTACTTAGTTACGGTCAACGACAGAAAAACAGCAAACATAATTATACAAGGAAGCTTAACCACCGTTGCTTACATATTCTTGGTTGAGGTAAATTCTTCTATGGGGTAGGAGTGAGATAGGAGATACTCTTGTTGCTGGCTTAAACGTCTTTATATCGTGATTCAGACCTTTTATAGTGTGGGAAAATATTGAATAGCGTAACTCCAATAAAGTAAACACTTTTCTTATATTTACTGAATTTATTGTTTGGCACATGTAAGTTATATCTATATCTTGCACTTAAATTGTGGATATCTGGGTTTGAAAATGTTCTTTGTTGTCCACTACAAATTATAATAATGAGAGCAAGGATTCCCTGGCCAGTGGAAGAAAATTACATTTTTTAAACAATTCCCTATATGGGGGAGACTCTCCTTTCACTATCTGCCATTATTTTAATTATTTTCTTCTGGGTGTAAAATACTCTTTGCTGTCTGTTGAGTTTCCCCAGAAAATAATTCCATAAGACATGATCGAATGAAAGTAAGCAAAGTAGACTAATTTTAAAGTTTATCTTTTCCTGGGTGATGTGGCATTCATCATAGCAAAGCATTAGTAATTATAGTAAGTAATGAGTTAGCCTGTTTACTGCCACTGGACCTAATACAAATTACTCTGAACACACGTAACCTGTTACAGAATTTGTGTTGTTTTTACGACAACTACCTTAATACAAACCATTGTTATTCCTAATGCAGCTGTTCACCAGGCTTCGAAATATAGCAGGCGATTACAGTGAGAGACATGGAGAGAGCAGAATCATTTAGAAATATTAGTTTCAATTGTAATGGTGTGAGGAGAATGAGGGAATCATTTTTGCTAATATCGTCCACTACTGCCGTTTCATGTTTGTGTTGAAGATGAGACAGTATTATCATATTATCCACATGAATAATATTGCCCTTGGTCATGGCTGTCAGTAACTCAAACTCTATGTCGTCCAGTGATAGACAGAATGATTAATTATTTAAGGTACTATCCCAGCATGTCTTGAGAGACCGAGGAAAACCAGGAAAACTTAGACTAAACGAACTCTGTGTCCAGATTTGAAAGCGTAACCTCCCGAATACAAAGCAGGAGTGTTAATCACTCGGTCGCGACGTTGGCACAGACGTGTTGCATCCCAACGAAACAAACATGACTTCCGGAGTTCTTTTCTATCTCTTTCTTTAGTCAGCCAGATTATGAAGAACTGGTTGGCGTGCTTATAATTATAAAGGTACCGGTACTTTAAACTAATTATAATGTGTAATCTTTTCCTCCGGAGATAAATAAAAAGAGTGCTTAATTCCCGGTAAATAAGTAACTGCTTACTCGCAAATAAATAGCGCGATCATATTTGTATGTTGACTTTGCAGGACAACAGCTAAAGAGGCCATTCTGCTTATATATTTAATGACAATTTGTGAATATTTTAGATGGACAAATCTAATTCGGGAAAAAGAGAAAATGTAATTTTAAGAAATTAATATGGAATTTATTTGGTATAATGCTAGGGACTTCATGATATATACGCTTCTGCAGTAATAACCTTTAAAATACAGGGAATTTAAATCGCCGCTTGTCCTGTTGGGCCAAATTAGACCGTCGCTACGTTTCTTCTGGCATGCATTTCGACGAAACTGTACCTTTCTCATGAATCCACACACACACAACAATGAAATAAAATACACATTATTTAGAAAAGGTTATTTTTCCACTCGGAACTGTTCTTTAAGTTGTTCGTCCTCAAAATCGTTTCTAATTGAAAGAAATATTATATGCGCGTGATCTGCAGCTTTCAAGCCAGGATATTCCACGAGAGCAAGTCTGTGCTTTTACTTCTTTTAAATACAGATATATCAAACATTGGGAGGAAAGCATCAGTGCAATGCGATGTAATCCCCATCTCCAGAGTACTATAAGATGTAAAATATGCTCATGTAGGGACTTGGAAAAGTGATGTAAAATTTAGCCAAATATCGTTTAATTTCTTCTCTGACTGTTTCAAGTAGAAGCATCAGCCTTTTTAAAGTATGCACATTTTGTGAATTGTTTATTGTTGAATGCAGCATATAAAAGTTTAAAACTGAATGAAGAATGGTTTTATCATATTTTTGGCCATTTATTTCACTCTGAAATTGCATGCCAGACTGCTTTAGTACTTTTAATTTGAAGACTTACAGGAAAGATGAGTCTTGAAAGCATAATGTTTGCATACTTTAAAACTTCATATTCCTGAATCTTATAATTTAGCAATATTTACAATTTCTGAAACAAACGTTTATTCCCTATTTGTGTTTAAATACCATTCAAGTCTACTATGAATAGTTAGCCCTAACAACAATAATTTTGAAACCAACCAAAAATGTGGTTTATAAAACATTAGTTGATCAATCCCTGAAAAACTGAATGAGTAAGTCAATGATTAGTGAAACATGTTTTCTGAGTCAAATTTAGTGGTAAATGGAGATGAATGTCAGTACAAAGACATGGCTTGCATAATGTGTGTAGTTCTTTAAATTTTCAGTTCTTTTACCCTAGCAATGCAAAATTAATGTATCATATTACAATTTTATTCAGATAATGGACTGAAGGTCGAATCAAGGATCCATCCACATGAGAGATTTCAAAGACAGACCTGCAGGTAAGGCAATCATTTCATTCAACAGTGTGCTTAGTAATTTCACTTAATAACTTTTATGACAAAATTGTGTTTCAATTATTCTTTCTTCAGCTGCTGAGCTTGTTGAATTCACTTTCAAAACCTCATTATACATATTTATATTGTCAGTTCCTCATGTACCTTTTATCAAATGTCATGGCTAAGTGGTTAGTACTCTGAGCCCAGAGACCAGTTATCCTGATAGCCTTGAGAAGGTTTTGTGATTATCCTCTTTTGCTATATAAACTATCCTTTGCTCTGTCACTTTTATTTTCCATCAGAGCATGCCCATTTTGAAGAATACTAATATCAAAAACCCTGAGGAATTAAGTTCTACATGCCATTAATTAACTCTAATTTCTTAACATGTGATCTTAATTACTGATTTGTAATAAAAACACTTCCCATGTTACAAAATTTGCTTCAAAAGGTTTTGTATACATTTTTTTCTCAGCAAAGAATTATACAAGACAGCTGAAACTTGGAGTACAGATGGTTACATACCTTATTTACAGACACCAAAGCAGGAAAGTTCAAAATTAATAGGTACCATATTTCATCTGTTAATTATTTGCTGAGAAAAAATGCAGGGCAAACCTTTTAAAGTGACCTTGTATGACTATTATTTTTACATTTTCAACACTACTCACCTCAAGTTACTTGATATCTTATAGTTTTCAAGCATACAAAATATCCATGAGATCTACTCTTCTAAAATATTTATGGCCATGACTTATTTTCATTGATTGTGTTATGTTTCTTTATAGTGCTTTAGAATTTCATTGTGCATCTGGTAAGTGCATAAGCAGTACATTACTCTGTGACGGATTTAAAGATTGTGATGATGGTTCAGATGAAACAGCTCATCAGTGCAATAAAATAAGGTACATTAGCTATATTATTGTTTTATTTGTTGATGTCTGAAGAAAAGTTACTCATGTGATTATCAACGTTTATGATGGAACCCTTGAATTTGTATGGTATATAAAAATTTACTAGGCATATATTTTATTTTATAAATATGTTGATTCAAAAATTATAAAACAGAGGGATAAACCCTAATAAACTTTTCAGAAACTCAATTGGCAATTGTGACTTTCAGGTTTAGAACTATTAAATCATTTCTAATTAGCTGTTCTGAAAAAATTAAGGCTGTTCCTCTCAACTCTTCTTTGTTCTACAGCATTTACTATTATTAACACTAATATTAGTGCAGAATGACCAAGCAGCAAAGTAAGCTAAGATAACTATTCAGAATGATCCTTTTGTGAGAAGTTTTTGTAATTTTTCTGAATCAGTTGCTCTTATGTACAACCATTTGCTTGTGTGCTGTTTCAGTGGTGATACAGAAATACTTTCTCACAGAACCTGTACTTTTTGCAGGTGTCCCAAGTTTGCCTTTCAGTGCAGCTATGGGGCTTGTGTTGATGGTAGTGCCAAATGTAATGGTATAGCAGATTGTGCTGATGGGTCTGATGAAAAACACCCCTCCTGTGATGTAAAGCCAAGTACCGGCGTTTGCAAGTAAATATGAGGATATACACAGATCTTTCTTAGAGACATCTTGAAAATATGCTTTTATAAAAGTAACTGCTAATGAGAAATATGTTATAGATAAGGTAATACTGTATGTCATAGAAATTGGCTGTTTCATGTTGAAGTACAAGTTCACACAAGTCACAATGCAGGATAATAACAATGTTATAAGATAGTGTAATTGCGTCATATTGTGAATATTCTAACAATTATTTATTTTCGTCCGTCTTATCACAATATTTAAAATTTCTTATAATTAAGATAATAAAATATTATTGATGTTCCATATCGATTGATCGATTTACATTTTGGAACATCCTTTACACAACATGTTTCAGTTTTTATAAAACCATCTTCAGGTGTATAAGATTTACGAACTTAAAACTCAAATATGTAAAATATCTACGAACTTAAAACTCAAATATGATTCCATTTGGTGATGATTTATGCCATTTGTTTTTCAATTTTGGGCGAGGTGTTGTCTTTTCTTAAATTTTATCAGATGTACATATCGGTCCTAGATGTAGGAGTGATTGTTCCGATATGTCCAGAAGTACGACTGTCATCGTCATTTGAGTTTTAAGTTCGTAAATCTTATACACCTGAAGATGGTTTTATAAAAACTGAAACATGTTGTGTAAAGGATGTTCCAAAATGTAAATCGATCAATCGATATGGAACATCAATAATATTTTATTATCTTAATTATAAGAAATTTTAAATATTGTGATAAGACGGACGAAAATAAATAATTGTTAATAACAATGTTGTTATCTTAACCACTGTGAGAACATTAAATCTCAAATTTCTCACTAAATTTTCTCTTATCCTTTTCACAGTACCTTATTAAACCATAAGTAATGTTGCAATGTGTGGGTAGAGGGAAAATAATTGTGGTATTTTTTAAGATAAAGGAAGTTGTGACAGAGTGAACGTAATTAAAAAAACCATATCATCTACCTAGATGTTCAACTCCAATTGTGGAGCAAGTTAATGGCACTACAGTCAGTAATTTTCTGGCCATGATAAATATTTCCATCTCTCTAGAGTTTTTAAAAATGGCAAAATAGAACAGTGATAATCTATTTGCTTTGAAAGTAGGGGATACTTGCTCAGTCCCTGGCTGAAATGACATAATATTCACTTATACAATATAATAGATCTTAGTAGTAAATTTTATTAAGGACTTCAAAATGTAAGTCATTTAACCTTTGCCTGGAACTAAAATTAATTTAAACCATGCTACCAGTCTATTTCAGCAGAACTTACATTGAAAGTTCAAACTTTGTATCCCTGTGGTGCTCACATTTATACATAAATCTTATTCCTGGAAGCTTCAGATCCATTAACTATATAGAAGCATTTTTATGTATTACATGTAATTTTTCAAATGCAATGCCACAAAATATAGCTTTCTTTAAATTGTACCATGTTGTAGATACCATTGTCAAGTTATTAAGTGATAGTCATGGATTCTTTTAGACACAAACAGATTGAAGAAGATGACATTACTGAACTTTTTTAATTTCTGCTTTTGAACATTGTAATGAATTTAAGATAGGAAAATGAAAAACATGAGTAGATTTAGGGATGAAACACATGGAGAAGAGGAGGGTATTTCCATCTGTGGGAAACATTCCTGAATAAACTCAGTGTACAAAGAAACATAATTGGAATTTTTCTGCAGAAGTCTATTCTTATCAGTTATAGGCACACATGAATGTGTAAGTCCCTAAGTATTCCCTTTTATTACTCATCTCAAAGTAACAAATGTGTGTGTTGACTTTCAGGTCTTCAGAGTTCCACTGCAAGTCTGGCAAATGTATAGATAATACCTTAGTATGTGATGGGATTAAAAATTGTGATGATGGTTCTGATGAAACATTTGAGCAGTGTAGCAAATTCAGGTAGTTATTTTTGTTGTATTTTCCACTATCCACTTTGCTTTTCTAATTTACATCTAGTGATATTTGACTCTTAAGTAAGTTCAAAATGAGAATTAACATTTTTTTAAACTTAAATAAATGTAAAATTACTTCACTGGAAACCAAATGAAGTAATATTACCTTTATTTTATTTTATAGTTTGTTCAAATATTGAAGCAACATGGCAGTTCAAATATATACCACTTCATCACCAGACTCCAAATCAGTATTCATGGGTTATTTTTGCTGAGAGTTACTACATTAAAGGTAAATGTTTATTAAATTTACTTCCAGGTGTTCACCTCTTACATTTCGTTGTTCATACGGTGCGTGTGTCGACCTCGATTACCGCTGTGATGGTCAACCCCACTGTGCTGACTCTTCGGATGAGGCTCCCATCTTATGTGGAACAGAAAACAAGCCCACTTGTAAACTTCCAAATAAACCAGAAAATGGAAACTACAAAATCCTTAACTGTAAGGAGACTGACACATCTCCCTTTTGTCTCCAAGTTCCTGATACTATTGCACCTGAATATACTATCCTAGAATATCGATGTGTTGCTGGATACAACTTGGCAGGCACTGCTTCAATTCCATGTATTGAAGGACAGTGGGCTAATTCACATCCTGCATGTGTTCCAGGTTGGTACATTTCATTCATGATGGCTACATGCATGTTAGGTGGTGGTATTACAGATGACAGTGATAGGGATTATTTTGGTCATAACACTGGAAGGTGATATTTTATATGACTCATTTGGAAGTGATAATAGTTGTTACTGTATGATTCTAGTGGTGATAGATTAGAGCATGTTACTGCAGGAAACAACTTTGACATTTGCAGTTTTCTACATATCTAATGCAATGAATAATAATATATAAATACATACGTTATGCAATAATATAAACTCTTTTAAATATTTATGACATTTGTAACTCTGACAAAATTTTGTATTTAATTTTATCTGCAATTGCTTGTGAGACAGAGACATGAATAGAAGGATGACGTTAAAATATATTGTAATAGAGGTGTTGTAAGGCTGGGCTGAAAATTGGATTGTACTGTCACATCAAGTTTTTGTGAGATTTTGTGGTAATAGTTCTATCTCTTTGTTCCATAGAAACATATTTCTTTTGTGTTATCTGTTTCTGTTCGTTACACATCACCTTATGTAGTTCTTTAGAGAGAACTGGTTCTCATGACTTGATTTGTTACAGTATCATGTCCACCACTGGAATCCAACAACCTGAACATTAAGTGTAACTATAAAGGCAATAATGTTCTATGTGAAAAGGCTATGGCCCCAGGAACTGTGGCTTCCTTGGAATGCAAAGTGTCCTACCAACTAACCTTTGAGCCAGGCTATACCAAGATCACGTGCCAGGAGAATGGAAAGTGGGACAGGCCATTATTTACATGCACTCAAGGTCAGCTAGATGCTAACAGGTTTCTTTTATATCCAAAAAAATCAAAATTACTGTTTAGGATTTGAGGTTTTCATGGCAGTGAGTCTCAAGATGCTGTCTTCTGGGTTGTCAGGACATCCTGGTGAAGGAGGCAGCAAGGACCTCTGAAACATTGGTAAACTTTTACCAGACTACATGGCGCAACAACCCAGAAGACAGTCATCTTAAAAATTGTGAAGATGATGATGATGAAATACCTGAGAGGCTAATGTATTTTGGAACAACATGAGAACTTACACTATTTTTGTGTTCATCAACATTTTATTGCATTAATTGTTAGTAAAATAAATAAAAAGGTTCAAATCACTTGAGTTCATACTATGTGAGATTTCGGGTTCTCATGGTGGCAAGTGTGAAGTTGGCTGTCTTGTGAATTGTATTCTGGAATGAGAAACTACTTCAGCAGATGGGCTGTGAAGAAGAAGAGAAATGTCTTAACTGTTATTGTACTGGAATAAGGGCTTTAAATCCCCATACTCATGGGGCTGTTGGCTGGACTTCAATGCCAGACTATCAGTTTACTGGTATCCTAATGTGAACACAGTCAGCTGAGTCACATAAGCTGTGTTTCATAGATGATAGAGGTCAACAGGTTTGAGTAATAAATACTATGCCACTGTAAGTGGCGGATGTAGAATGTCTTCTTGTGTTTTACAGGGTTTCCAATGTCTGTTGTTTTGTAATTGAGTTAAATCATCTTATGGGCTGCATCCAGCCTCCAGTCCTGTTGCAGGCATAGCTGCAAACACACAACATTTTTAATTTTGTGTTCTTACAGTGTGTGGAAAGAGAAATCCTAAAGGAAAACCGTTTGTCTCTAATGGAGTGCAAGCTAAAGTTGGCGAATTTCCATGGCATGTGGGTATATACAGATATTCTGCTAATGGCACTCTTCAGCAAATATGTGGTGGTTCACTCATCAATCCAAGTACAGTAGTATCTGGTATGTTGATTGTAATGTCTCATGAGTCTAATCATCCTACTTTTAATACATACCATGGGCCACGGTAAAGCAGCTTAAGTGGTTAATTATACAAGTGAATTATTTATGATTTTTTCAAGTGAGGCTTAGTTAACTATATTAAACAAAGAAATATTTAAAAATTTCAAAATCTTCTCCTTGTCTCAGGTCAAATTAGAAGAATAAAATTTTTATTTTAGTGGTTTTGAATTTTGTAGAAAAAGTACTATAGATAAAGTAAGTGATTTAATATCATATATTGTCAGCAAATACTTTGAATTCTTAACACATGATGCATTAGCTTGTTGGAAAAAGAAATGAGAAAAATATTAGGAGTGTCCTGTGTAACAGTTTAGTGTATTCTGATTTTTACTGTTACAGTAATTCAATTTATTGTAACAGAATATTACAATTTCTTGTGATTATAAGGAATGTATAAGAAGAAAATAATAAATAAATTAATAATCTATACTACATAAACATCCAGAACCCTGAAAGGTAAATTGTACACTATAAAAAAGTTTTTAATAATAAAGTATATTAACCTTATGTGTATTCAATGTTACAGCTGCTCATTGCTTTTGGAGTGAAGCCTATGGTAAAACAATGGACAAGGATAATTTCAGAATTGCAGCTGGCAAATATTATAGGGACTGGGATATTAAAGATTCTGAAATGCAAGAGCGGCAGGTATGAGAATTCAGTTGACTTAGTGTTCGTTCTTAACAACATTCTTGGATATTATTTATGTATTTTTGTGCCTTAGAGCCATAAATGAAGGACCAAGTGCAAAACTGGCATGGTTCCAGTTCTGCCCTTAATTCAGTTTTGAATTGTTCCATATATAAAAGTAACTTCATTCAATGGTGGAAGAACAGCATGGCTCAAGTCATTAACTGCTCTGATACAGTGAAAATGGAGCCATACCATGTTGTGGTTTTAGGCAATAATGGAGTGGCTGTAGTAGCCATTCATTTTTGTAGGAAGCTTGAGACCAATATTTGAATATTTTTTCAAATTCCAGACATTTTACTCCTAGAGTGAGGTAGTTGCACAGGTTTTTTAGTTTAATTAGTGATAGTGTGGCATAATTAAAGTCCTTACGTGCTGTGAAGAATAGAAACAAATTCAACTTAATCTGAATTTGTAATGTTTTCCAAATGTCTGTTAAAGTGGAACCATATCCGTTATATACTGCAACATTCAAATAATCTCTATGTGTTTAATTTTCTCATGTGTACACGAATTACATTATCAGGTTGGATTTTTTACTTTTAGATATACATAGTGACTGGTTACAGGCTAGACGACTGGGGTCTGATTCCGGCAGCAGAGATTTTTCTTCTCACTGAGACCCATCCAGTTTCATATTCTGTGGATTCTTGGGGCCTTTTCCACATAAATAAGCAATGAGAGTGTGAAGATGACCACTTCCTCTAAGGTTAAAAATGTGTAGAGCTTTACCTCCACTCCTCCATACATCTTTATGGCTTGGTTTTCAGGCACAGTGACATTTATACCTTTTATGTTTGCCTCAAGAATATATAGATTTGATATGTGAAAAGGCAGAGACCTTGTAATATTTATCTCAATATATGGAGATGAATCTTATAAGGTCCATATCCTGTGAAGCTCTAATGTGGTGTAAGTTAAGGCACCTTCATTTTTGGTTTTGTAGAGATTACATAACCCATGATGTACTGGAACTCTCACAACTCAGAATGATCTTTGTTGTGTAGAAATGTAGGAAAACGTGTAATCTGAAGATTCAGCTATATTTATACAAAATTTGTTATCAGTATTAGAATATTTTTTTAGTTAACGACACAATTAATTTTCTTTGCAGTTGAGTGATATTATAGTGCATGAAAAGTACAAAGGACGAAATCTGCACTTCAGCAGTGATATTGCTCTGTTAAAATTGAATATCTCAGTGGAGCTGACCTGGGCAGTTTTACCAGTATGTGTCGATTGGAGGAATGAATATGAACGCTTCCAGCTAAGCAATGGAAACCTTGGAATAGTAAGTTTATTATAATTTGAAATTTAATAACTTATTTTTTTACTATATTGTAAAATATCATAACTTTATGAGGTATATTATATGACAGATTAAATGTGTGAGAATTTTCATTGTTTTTGTCAGTCTGTGTTTACGGTTATGTACGGTAGATTAATAATTACTTATGAACAGCCAAAAAAGGGATGATACTCCAGACAAGTGGCTAGCAACACCTCACTGTAGAAAACTAGTAGGTTAAAAATTTTTACATAGGGCCTTGAATTACAAAAATGGTATTATTTTATCATTACTTACTATGTAGTCTGCTTTGGAAATTAGCTTAATTGTGTATGTAATTTTGGTTTCATTTTACCTTGCAATTCAAATTATCTCTCTCTTATTCATTCACAGACAGTTGGTTGGGGCTACACACAAAATAATGAACCAAGCAATGAGCTTCTTACTACAAACTTGCCATTTGTGGATTTTCAAACTTGCTGGAAAACTATTCCAGAAACATTTCAATCCTATGTCACTCCAGACAAGTTTTGTGCTGGCTACTTGAACGGTGAGTGTTTCTCATTTCATATCATTAGTTCAAATCATTATTGCTCCTACAATACAAGGACCTGTCTTTAATTTCTGTTATAAATTCTAGGATTGTCCCAGAAATTTAAGAAGATAGTAAATCCAAGCTAGCTTTTTGCCTTTTCAAACATCACTTCAGAGGTTTCATTTTTGTATGAAAATGTTGTACAACAGTTTTGATTTTAGTTCTTAAGGAAATTAACTTAACTGTAACCAATGACATTATGTTCCATAGTATATTCAGGAAAATTACCTTAAAATGCAACAATACTAAACCCTCAGCCTCATACATTTTTAATAACACAGAAAGAAAGAACTGTATCTGTATTATGTGCCTCTATTTTTTTGTCCATAACCTGGTTACGTTTGTTTGTATTAACTCTATACAAATGCCTCACCTTCATATCTCTCACTTGCTGAATTTACAAATTATACAAGTTTTTCAGGTGTCAAATACTAAATATTAGTTTGTTTATTTGTCAGCTTTCCCTTTATTGCCCTGCAGGTACAAGTGTGTGTCCAGGAGACAGTGGCGGAGGAATGGCATTTGCGCATGACCAGAAGTATTATTTGCGTGGACTTGTAAGTGTGGGACTGGAACCAGAAGGTGATGCAAAATGTTTTACTGACCAATACACTGCGTTCACAAAGGTGTCAGATTTTCTTTCATGGATCGATAGCAATATAAGATGACACTACTGTGCTCTGGTACTATGTTATACAGGAAATAACACAATGGCTAGATGAAATGCCATCAACACGTCCATTCCTTCTGCCAGTATCCAATTTATGTGACACAGAAAGGAAGGACCGCTAGTACAACAGTTGCTCTTAATGGAAGTAATCTGATCAATGTATGATGTGAAACTAGTAGAACTATTATGAACAGAGGCTGGATCTGGAGTTGGTGATAAAAATAGAAGCTCTGCATACTGATTATAAATTTACTCATGGCCATCTAAATAAATCTGCCACAAAGACTTTCTGGCTTATCAACTATGCATGAACTGAATTTTTGGCTTCTTGCTCAGACATCTTGCACCTATCCTCTGCTAATCCTTTGTCCCTTTTTGGTCTTATAGCTGAAGATCTGTTTCTGACCCACAGGTTCGATGAAAGAAACATATAAATCTAATTAAATATACTGAAATAGATAAGTAATAGACAACTTACTTCTTCCAAACCCAATAGCATGGGATGTCATATGGTAAGTTGCAAAAAAGAGGATTAAATATTATTCACACACTGCTCGCTCTTTTCCATAGACATTAAATATAAATACAATGCAGTTTGGTTATAGTGAACTTCTGGTCCTTATTATGACACTGTAGTTAACTCAAGTTTCAAAAGATCCAAACCAGAAGGAAAATTTTGGAGATCAAAATGGCTCCATATTATCAAGCTCCAGTCTTGAGGACATCATTATAGTGGATCTGAAATGTGTTGATAATTTATATAGTAGATTATTGAGAACGTTTCAACCAGAACAGTTTAAAATAACAATATTCTAGTAACATAGCCCTTTATAACAGTATTACAATTTATTTTGTAGAACTCTAGAATTATTTGTGAGCACAAAAAGAGAAAGAAAACTAGTTCAGTATATCAGTGGAAAATAAAAGCAGTCTGATGATAAATGGTACTGAAAGATATAAATTACTGACATTGAAACTATTTTCTAGTGCAAAACACCTACATACTGGTTTTGGTTACCTTGCTCTGTATTTATACATTTCTCTGTAACTTATGGTGAGTCATTTTATTCATTTAATATTACAGCTCCTTTTACTCTATAAGGTTTTTATGGATCACATTTTATTAATATTAGTGTTGTCAGCAAAGTTTACTCATTAGTTATTAGTCTTTTAAATTAATTTAGTATATCTTGAATTCATCAGCAAATCTACATTATTTGTAGCAGTAATACATAATTAAGATTCAGGATGAATGGCACATGCGAATAACAGTTTTGTATGTTTTCTTTAATTCATTTCTACAGTTTACTCAGGAATGTTTATATTCTCCAATATTTCAGTGCCATTATGATACATGTTTGGAGTTCTTCAAAGAAATCAGTTACTGGATTCAGATTCCTTCCCTTCTGACTTCTGGTAACTGGGTTGAACTGATTCCAGTGCTGATTTCAACCATTTGTTATAAATTCCAACCTAAAACAAAAAGCAGACTTATTGAACCTTGTTCCAGACAAGACTAAAAAAGTGAAAGGATATTCAGAACCATTAACCTATGAGAAATGTTTGAATTTTATCTGGACCTTATTTTCTACAAGGTGAAATTTTGTGAATGAGGGAAACTGTAAGCACAACCAACACTAAACTAGCAGCTATTATTTTACAAGGATCTGCCTTGAGGTGTCTTCACCTCAGAAGTGGATTAATCCTTCACTTTCGAGGCATGCAGAGGCTAGGAAGTTCAAATATACCAAAGCTAGAGGCATAAACCACATCAATTTTATAAAATGTTAAACACACAAATGTGGATTATGCCTACCTTAGTGAAGACTGTATAGTAAGTGGAGTCACAGAAGGAGGTGCCATGTCGTCGTGGACTGACACTTACTATGCCTTGCAGCAGCCAGGTGTTGTTGTGTCCAGATGGATGGGGAAATATCAGGCCACCCCCACTATCACCATTACATACACCTGTCTCTGCATGGTGAAAATCATATATGCCCTGTTTAGAAACATAATAAACTTGGGGCTCTCCTAACTTAAAAATTAGTTTGCACACTTAATGTGAGAATATAAAAAGTAATAAAGAAACAAAACACTATTACATATTTTCTGATGGTGCAAGAATTTTGAAGATGGAAAATGTAGTTTTATATATTAATTTATTCCAGGTTTATTCATCTTGAAACTTGGCCAGAATTATATAACATGTTATAATGCCTATGTGAATAAACTTTAACAATCAAGAAGTACAAATATGATAAAATATGTGAATAAATTAGAAAATTTGTTTAATGGGAACAGGAGATTAACAACCTTGAAAAGTAACTGATAAAAGAGACGAACACAGATTTTTTAATTTGTTTTTGCCTAAAAATTTATCAGTATACAATATTTGCAGATGTGTTAAATTCAGTGCAGGGCAGAAAGTTATGATAGATTGCACCATAAGAGGGTTACGTTGGCATTCAAGAAATTATTAATATTAAGATTTCTTAGAAGTTTTAAATCATTGAAACAATAAAATTGGGTTTTTATAGATGACACTCAAATTGTATGAAACATTTTAGTTGCACTTGATTTTCATGAATTTAAGGGTCAAAAATAAGCAAAATGTCAGATGCAATAGCACTGCCATACCCAATGATACATTAATATTTACACATTAGCTCTGATTTTATTTAGCCATTTTACTGGGTAAATAAAAGCTTGTATCTACATAACACAATTTATATAACTCTACAACGAGTTAATTAATCAGAGACATTTGAAGTTACAGCTTCCAAATTACTGAAAACAGAGCTTACTGTTTCTGTATCCAGCACAGAATGTGGTGAAGGTTACATATTTCTTGAAGTCTCTTGGTTGCTCTTTGATGCATTTCTCATCTGACACAACAGGCAATTGCACTATACGTAGTGTGTCACTGTAGGTATCATTTTCATTCACACCCCACCCTGCCACCTGCCAAAGGTACTGAATTTATAATTACTTTCACTTCATTACTTATCTTTTTGTTTGTCAGACCATTGCCATATGACATGTCAATAACATGGCTATAAAATTATGTACATGTAAAATCTCAGCTAAAACTAAACTGTATCAGAAAGTATCACATTACAATAACTTTCTCCATAGAAACACATTCACAATTTGTTAACATATTTCTTGAAGTGTAAGACATGTATTCATCTACCAAGTAAAATTTATTTAGACAGTGATTCTAAGACTGTGTTCTGTATTGAAACCCAGACATTCTAAAACATACTGTCAGGTATATGGAAAATTTTCTGTTAACCTTTACCAGTTGTGCATTATAGTTGTATACCACTAAATTATTGACACAATTGTTCAAGTCTGGCTGGCAGTAATTCAGGAGTTTAAATTGCTATGTTTCCATATAATAAATGTTAAAATTAATCAAAGAACTGATTAAGTCTCCAACAAATACTAAATAGGATATCTGATTTAAGAGCATGTTAAGCAAAATTTTTTAATGTTTAGTGATCATGGATAATTTAACAAAGCATAATACATGGAGCTATCATAAGTAATTTACTCAGACTGATGTTTCTGTATCACTGATTATTTTATTTATTACAGTTCTAGATTTGTAGTTCCCAGCATTCATCAAAGACTAATCGATAGTCTCTGAGTTGGCCACAAATTTTTCCTCTTTAAGATTTAGAGTCAGCACAGTCAGCCAGCCCATAGATGTTTTTCTTTTTTAAATTTAGTGACAACAGATATTTACAAAACTCTTTAGTTTCTGTACTGGAGGTTAATCCTTTGTTACTTCCTATCTTACTTTGTAACATAACTTACTGTCCCAAGGTTTCCTTCAGTTAAATCATTATCAATGGCCTTCAGGTCCCAGTCAATGCAAACAGGTTGTACAACAGGTGATAATTCAACAGCAGTAGCCAGAATTAGCACTGCTAAGTCAGACCCATAGTTTCCCCTTCGATCCTGGTAAGCAGGCTGCATGATTATCTGCCTCACCTAGAAACTGAAAAACTGATCAGACTGTGCACAGGTAATATACAGTCATTTATACAACTATTAGTTTCTGATAGTACATGACATGATTTAAAAATATTTTACCATCAGCAGAGGGCTGTTATCTTCTGAATATAGTCTATTTATTGGTGCAAGTATTTCAAGTTGTAGAATAAGAAAAAATTATAGTAGTATCCAAAATAGATATGAATAAATTATTTTTAGGAAAAGGGGCAGTTTGAAAAGACAGTATTTCACATGCAACAATTATATGGTTACTCTGATATAAACTCTCACACAAGAAAGGAGAAACATATTGTGTTAGGTATAGAAAACTTGGGGGAAGGACAAACAACTTGAGATATGTAATATCAGCTGTGGCATGTGGAGTTAACATGGACTTGTTTTTTATATTATTTTAGATTAATATAATTATTATTATTGTTGTTGTTATGAAAGTCATACACAGTCATTTATTTTCAATCTAAACTAGTCCTGGAATTAATAAACTCTAAAAAAATCTGTACATTTTTCCTTACTTAATTTACTGCTGCTTTAAAATAATACAAAAAAATCATTAATTTGTATGTGAATTCTATGTTTCATACGTGACTGACAAATATATTTAATTTTTATAGTTGATAATCTCACACAACAGTTATGCAATGTCCAGAGCAGATGTGCAATACTGAGGAGTAATAAGTGAAAAGAAAGTGTGGTAGTAACCAAATGAAGGTAGACTAGAAAATGTTTCATGCACTTCTTGCATTTACAGTTCATAATTTTAAACAAACAAAACAAAAGACACTGGCTTATGCATGAACTTGATTACCGTGGTGAAAATGAAAAAGAAAGAATTAAATTTACTGTTTTCAGATTCTTATCCCTCATTTAAAACACCAGCACAAATGCACATAATTTGAAATTTTGTCAGCTGTTAGAGCATTCCATAATAAATTAATTCTACATACATCTTTGATCTGTGTTAACTCTTGGTTCATGTCAAACTCCCTGTAAAACTTCCCAAGAACCACACGAAGGGTATCTTCATTTATCTTCCATGTGCAATGGGCAGCTGTAACACACAGTGACAAGTAAAAACATCAAAGTTCCCCAAGTGAGATTTAAGTGTATATATCTCAGGACAAAGCATTGTGGAACTCCAATACACGTAAAAGGACAATGACCTGTAACCACAGCATATTCACTCACTAAACTTCCTCCACACCAGAAAGTCCAGTTGCCAGCTCGAAGTGTAAAGAGACCAGCTTGCCATGGCCATGCACCGTAGTTGGCTTCTTGACCATTTATAACCAGGGGTGTCACTTCTTCATCAAGTTTCCCACATTCTGGAAATACACACCTTGGCATAAATTGTCCAAAAATTAAGAAATAGGGTAGATTACGTTTAATATAACGAAAAATGATGTGCAGTAATAAAGCACATGTTTGTGTCAAAATGTGTCTGCTGTTGACAGTAAATAAGATATATAGCACAAAAATTCTGGTGTGTTTACTAGAATTTGACTGTTGACAAATCAAATTTTACTTATAACTTTTATTTTAAAATGCCTTTGATATGATGCATTTTTAAATAAATACAAGAAAAAAATAGTTCAAGACTGATGAAGCATGGTTTGTACTTGGAATAGCTTTGCAATGTTAGACCTGAATCTTCAATAATCTGCAAGTGCTTGTCAAAATGGAAAACATTCAACAATCAAATGTAGCTTATCTCTGGAAACTGAATTTATACATAACAGTAAGTTATGCAAAATTGAAAAAATGCATTTAGAGATTGTATTTACCAAAATGGAAGACTTCCTTACACTCTTGTTTTAACCTACCAGGAACACATTTTAAGATGTCAGTGCTCCAAGTCCCATCCTTCTGACATTCACTAAATGTATTGCGCTGGTGCTCATCCCCATTGGGTATGTAGTACTGCTGACACTGGTATCGAGCAATTGTGCCTACAGGAAGTGGGTTATCACATGGGATCCAGCCTCGCCTGTTGCCCCAACGGGACTCACAAGTCACAGACAAACGTGGTGAACTCACAGGAGGACATACCACTTCTCCATTAGCTGAACAAGAAAGTACCAGGTGTATTGCCAAATTTTAGCTTAGTTCTTAAAATAATATTTTTTCTTTCATATGATACTCATTTCTTTATCAACAGTCTTATTTGATGCTTACTGTTAATAAAATCAGCGATTAATCACTAAACTAACCAACACACTAATTTGTTAATAAAATATTTTTAAATAGAATAAATCATTGGAACCACATAGATTAGAAGCATACTCTGAGCAATAAATGTGTAATTCACAACACTCACTCTGCAGGTGAAAGGTTTACTCTTCTAAAGAAAATGCAGGAAAAGGATCCATTTATTTTCAGAAACACCTCTGACCAACAGAAGAAATAAAGCAAACATGTCAAAAAATCAAATATATGTAGCTCTAATACTTAATATGATTAATTGGAGGGAGAGGAGAGAAAGGACAGGGAAGAGGTGGACAAATAAGAGGAAGAAGAAGAAGAGGAGGAAGAAAAAGAAGAGTAAGAAGAAAACAACAACCCATTACAATAAAAATGCAGCATTTGACACAATGCCAGTTCACACACAATTTGTGTGTTATATATATTTTTATTTGTACATAGTTATTACGAGGCTCTTTATGTATCCTGTACACATAAGGCAGTGAAACTAATCTGTGGTGGGCAATTGATGATGATGATGATGATAATGACATGAAAAACAAAAACAACATGCTCTTTAGTGTGTTGGTTACTTTTAGTTACACACCTGGAATGCATGTAGGGAGTTGAGGCACCCATGCTGAGTCATGACAGTAGACAGATGAGCTACCTTGTAGTTTGTGGCCAACTTCACATGAATAGTTCAGTTCATGATGCTGTGCCACTACAGCTCCAGGTTGACACATGGGGCAGTTAGTGGCATTGTAGTGTGAATATGGTGAAAGTGCAGGTAAGTGACAACTTCCAGGTGGTACTGTGAGTCCACATAGTATTGGATCCTCATCTGACCAATCCACACATTGAGGTTCCCCATTACAAGTGAGATTCATTAAGATGCAACCTCCATACTTGCACCGGAACATGCTCACTGGACAACTGGTACATAAAACTTCAAGGTGTAATTATGTAAAATATACAGCCACACTTATCACATTTATTAACCCCTCAGTGTAATTATATAAACATTTGGTAAAATGAAGGATAATAACTTTAAGACATATACTTCTTCCTGCAAAAATTTTAAATCATGCACTAGTGGAAATGTAAGCTTATTTAGGTAATATGTGTGATACAATTAATGCTGTTGACCCAGGTACTTAAAATAAAAATATTCTAAATCTCCATCATCAGGGCTGAAAGTATGTTTCTTCAAAATGTTATAATTTGTCTACAAGTCTACATGGAATCAGAACCCAAAATAATAACATCATTATACTCACAGCCATAAAAACCTCATATTCCTCACAGATTAAACCTTTATCTTTTGAATTATTCATGAGTACTCTGTTGTTTGTGGGTCTAGCATGCTATACTGTTCACTATCAGAAATACTCAATACTTGCAATGTTCTCGAACAGGTAGTTAACGTTTCATCTGAACTGTCACTGCAGTCAGGACGACCATCGCAAAATGCTCGACGAGGCACACATTCTCCTGACTGGCAACGTAGCTCATTTAACCTGTAGGGTTTAAAATTATTTCCAGCATAAAAGCATAGAAGAAACTGTGAGGCACAACTCAGCATTGGGACAATTTTTAGAAGTATATAAAGTTAAGCTAAAGAACTTTATATGCATCTGACATGAAAATACCATTTTCTGTCTGGTTTGTGTGTTTAGTTGAATGAAAGTTCCTAAATAGCATCAGAAATATAGTTTCTTCAAATTAACAGATGATCTGGTATAGCAGTGAAAATTGTGTTATGTTTGAGTTTAACTGTTTAGTTCAGATGAACAACGATGATTATAAACGGTGCTTTGTTTTCTGTGTTTCTAATGTAAAAATTATAAACTTACAATAAATCTAATAAAAAATCTACAATGTTAAAACACTCAGCATTCCTCCTGAAAATAGACTTTAATTTGAAATTACTTACGCACAGACTGTACAGGACTCCCCATCCTTTGAACACTTTTTTTGGCAGTGGTGCTGGAATTCATCTGAGCCATCTGAACAGTCTTTAAAACCATCACACTTGGCCACTTGGCTAATGCACCCACCTGACTCACAACGGAATGCATGTCTTGGACATCTGTGGTAATTTAATTAATTCAAGATAGTTTAAAACAGTAATTCCAATTTTGGGATTCAGAAAATATTTTACACAGGTTTGTAATTTTGTTATATATTGTTTGTCATAGGTAAGAAAGTATTTTTTATCATTTAATTTATATAAAAAGTGTAGATATGTATATGAATAATCCTGTAGTTGAAACTGTGTTTTAAAGCACTTCCAAAACTGTTGATTTGATAATTATTAATTGCATTTATTACTGCAGTTGTTGTTGCTACTAACTAACTAACTGCATGGAGCAGTTTTCTTCTTGGGAAGCTACAATCACTTAGTTTAAGAAATTCCCTGTACTATATCAAAGTGTGGAGGTTCATTAGATGACTTACACTGATTGGATTGTGATTGTCCACTTATCTGAAGAAGTTTGTTGCTTAATGGTTTACACAATGCACTTTAAAAATTCACATTTAGTTGCAAAACAATTATGGTATTAATTATGAATTTTTGTGAACATTGATGGAAGCAGCCGTTGTTTAGTTTAAAATACACAACTAGCATTTGAAAGTAGAGACTGAGGAAAACAACGAGAAACCTCAGACTAGCCATTCTGCAGACTGGAATTCTTCCCTGGAAGCTCCCAAAAATGAAGCAGGAATCTTATCCATTGTCCTGTGACAATTGAATAAAATTGACCCTTCTTGCAGTGAACATATTTATATGGACCTCATTTAATTATTAGTTTATTTAATGATGCAAAGATTATATAGCATCAAATGATATGATGATTAGTGAATAACAAATTTGAAAGAAGTTTAGGTATTATCCTGGCACTTGCCTCAAGGAAGTGAGGAAAACCATGAAGAATTGCAGTTGGTATAATTAGTATCCTGGCCAAGATCTGAACTCCAGATCTGCCAAATATGAAACAGGAGTACTAACCATGCCTTATTAAAGGAAAATAAATATTGAGGTAGGTGAAGTATTTATAAGAGATACTCAACAGAAAATCTTGACAGATGATACTGGATTCATCTGATTTGTCTGTACAATCAATTTTTCCATCGCACAGGAACCTGTGGTCTATACATTCACCTGAGCCACACCGAAACTCTGTCTCACTGCAAGCACAGAAACATTTATGACTTGAAGTAAGATGCAGTCATCAAGTGGAGACAAATAAAACCTTTAGAAATATTTGTAAATGTAATAATATTTAACAGATAATACAAATGATTAAGTTATTTACTTTTGTTATCTTCCTAAATTACAGGAAATTTGCTTTCACCTCTTTGACATAACAATAATTGACATTGAACATGATTCTGCTTTTGGATTCTGGCACCACATGTAAGTTTGCTGTGTTGTCAGTGTTTCAGAGGACCATACTGCCTCTGTCATCAGCCCTGATGATAGAGGCACTATGGTCCTCCAAAACAGCCAACATGATAATCTGCTAGATACTTGGAATTAAATGTATACAATTAAATGTTTAACACTTCCATAATTGTGCTATGCTGAAATTTTGCAAAGTGTTGACTACATGTCTGCTAATCCAATTAATTAAACTAACTCCATGGAGCAGAGTACTTCTTAAGAAGCTATCAGTTTGCTTAGCAAATTTATAAATTTTCTGCCTTTTTTTATATCTCAGTGGTTGAATAATGTCTTCACCAGTGCCTACCATTGGCCCCTATTCTAAGTTCTGCTAATCCAAATGTACACTAAATTGTGCTTTTAAATTTGAGATAACAATAGCCTGAGGCACTTTTTTTAACAACTGCCTGAACTACTTATTTCTGAAACTGCCATATATGCAGAATATATAATTACAGAACAAATTATATAATAAATTTTGGAGCATCAGCCTAGTTACTTCATGCATACAAATTCTAGTTTTAGTAGTTCCTCTGAAAAATGAACTGAAACTAACTTGCAGCTCCCAGCTTCATGACCACAGTGACTTTCATCAGACCCATCTGCACAGTCAGCCTTCCCATCACATTTCAGATATTTCTTGATGCATGCACCATAATTACATTGGAATGCATTTGTAGGGCACCTGAAACACGTAGAATAGCTCATTCATTTGTGGCCTTTCCATTAGCTGTAGGATTTGGGTTTCTCCTGGCACTGATTATGAAGATGGCTGTCTTCTTAGTTGTTGCACTGTGAAATCTTGTAGAAACTTACTAACGTTTCAGAGGTACTTGCAATGCAAACTTTTACCAGACTACAAAGTGTTACAACCCAGAAGACACATATTATTACCACTCATTCATAGAGTAAGATGTTGCTTGTTGGGTGGAGTATCTTGCATAATTTAATTTTAGATTTTATCTATGTGCACAAAATGTTTCTTTGTGGCAAAACTACAGAAAATACTTACATGTGGACTATTCACAATTTTAATCCAGATCTTGTTCTCCATATTTTTGGTAGCCACTCACTGAAGTCAAGTGACAGAAATTAATGTATAATGCAGTATTACTCACGTCATAAGCATGCAAAATTCTCTGATTTCATCTGAACCATCAGGACAGTCCATGATACCATCACAAACTCGTTTCAGAGCTATGGTGGTCTTGTCTGTGCAGTTAAATTGTCTTCTTATATTGTTGGTTAAAGCTACAATGTATGCAAAAACATGCATATTTTATCTTCATAAAAAGTAACAAGTGTGGAAAGATGTACTACATTGGAGTATACATATTTTATAAATTCACTTACTTGCTATCTTGTAAAATCCTTTGGCATTGATCTTTATTTATTAGAGCATTAAAATAACAAGAATTTGTAATCATAAAAATTTGACCTCGAGTCACTGTTCTTTGGAAGAAGGCATAAAGCATAATTCAATTTAATTCTTTAATATTAGTGTGCTGTATGAACAGCCAGAAGGCCAATTACAGATACAGCACATAGATGAGCACACGAACACAATAAAAACATAAAAGGTAAAACAAGCAGAATATAAAATACATTAATACGGAGGACGCTAATACATAAAAAATGCAATTAAATACATTAGCATATTTGTAAAAATAATTTAAATCAATTGAGTAAATTATACTATTATGGAATGTGAGGAAGTGTGACAATTTTCATCTCGAATATGTTCAAGTCCCTGCAGATGACATTAGAAGTTGATGCGCATCTAGCAGAAGGACTGTTTTTGATCAAAGGGCTAAAACTGAACATAGAAAAATCTCTCAGATTCCGAGCAGGGATGCGGAGACCAACAGCTTCCAGAAGGGAGGGACAGCATTTAAAGCCGCGATAAATAGTACATCACTACAATGCCTTCTCTTACGCAGGGTATAGAGTTTTAAACATAATGAAACAATAAGAATAAAGGAATATTAATACCGGTTTATTATTCATATGTTATAGACTTTGATGCTGAAGTGCACCATTTATCGTGTTTCTGCTATAAACTGATGTATGGATCGTACATTATTCATTGCTGCATTTTCCTTGTTCACTGTATTCATAATCTTGATCTTAAGAATGGCCATGCAATAGAATTTATTATAAAAGCAATTAAAAATTCCAAGAAGGTATGCAACTTGAATTCTAACCAGTTCAACAGCTACCACTTTCATATCTGTAATATTACCTATAATACAGCTATGGAGAGAGGTTCAGATTCATTACTGTTGCTATTATGATAATAGATTTATATTATATATTACCAAATATGTTATTTGCTAAGTTATTTAAAATTTAAAACAATAAACAGCTGCAATCTGTAATAATAATAATCAGTTTAGTGAAATATACTGGAGTTAGAAACGTGGCCTTTGGATAAGACATTCTCTATTACAAGAACACTGAAATCCATAACCACAACACATGTCAAAAGTTGGAACTCCATGTCCTGTTCTACAGAATGAATGTTCTCAAGAAAGGTGTAGTGAATATAGGAATAAAACTATACAATAAATTACCAAGTCAAAATAAGGAAAGTGGAGAAAATTAGGTCATTCAAAAACAAACTAATGTCCTACCTGTTACAATGTACATTTTATTCAGTAGATAAATACATGCCATGTAAATCAGAAGAGTGTATATGAGTAGGTGCATTCAATGAATTGGATTTGTATTGTGTGGTAATATTGATATAACTTGTAAGCCGTGTATTTGAAAGATGTATCTTATGTCAATGTTTTAACCAAGTAGGATGAATAAAATTGAATTGAATTGAATCTTATTACAGATACATATATACACAGACACACACATCTTACCTTCAGTAAATATTAGCAGAAGAACTGCAGCTATGAAGCTGAATTGATGAACCATGTTTCACCAGAAAGCACAACATAGTGGTGTGACATCTGGTCCCACTGTTATTTATAGTAAATCTGCTTACAAGGGGCAAGAGCAGAGGCTGAAGGTTTTGCAAGGATTCTGTTGTTCACAATAGCACCCAAGTATGGAAATCTCCACAGAGTCATAAAACAAGTCCAGCAGGTGTGCATAATGTTCTTCCCTTGTTATTCAGAATAAGCTATAACTCTTTTGTCTGTGAAGTTCTTTTAAAGTGTCATATAAAGTATAACAATGTCAAGAAGTAAAAGAACTACTGTCTATTTTCACACAAAACAGTTAAAGTATAAATTTATGAAGCTTTAAATAAAGTGTTTTTTAATATGTGTTGCTTCCAGGAAATACAAACAGATCCAAATGCTCTAATACTATGAACAGTCCACAATGTCCAATGTGGATTTATGGCAATATCCATTTTATACATCCTGTTGAGATTATTATTAGCAAATGTACAGAAGATAGAGGTTCTGTCATATGCAACATACACAATATAATGAATAAAATATTGTGCATGATGGAACCTCTATCTTCTATATATTTGCTAGTAGGTTTATGGCTGTTGGCATACAAATAATATCAGTTATCAGAAAGCTAATATTAATGGCATAGTTTAATTTTATACTTAATAAGTATTATACTGTATAAGTATCATGACATAAGATTGTTACATCTAGAAAGAGACAGAGTGAGAGCAACACCATTACGATAGGATTTTCACCTTATAAATTGAATTTAGGAACTTATATAACTATAATGGAAATGTTTGCCCAATTTATATTGAAAGTTTAGTATTACAAATAAATTCAAAGAGCTGCCACCATGCTTAATGTATTGAAATAAAATATTTAAATGAAGTCACCAAACCATGAAAAAGTACTAAAGTGAACATAGCCTTACAACTAACAACACTATAGATTATATGCAAGACATTTTCAGTAATAGGAATAATTCTGTTTTTTCACAACACAACACAACCATGGAAATACTGAAGCTGTCTTGGTAGTGTCAAAAATAGAATAAAGTGTATTATTTAAATAGTTCACAGAGACACTACACACAAAATTATAAAGCAAAACTTGAAAATAAATGACTTTTACAAAGGAAATTATAATCCCATCTTTGAAATACTGTACTACAGTCCTATCAGATAGCAACACTAACTCACCCCTCTCCTTTTCCCCTTCTTAGCAGCAGATCTTGTATCTTACACATATTATTATTGTTGGATATGAAAAAATACATTCCACATTAACACTACAAACATGTGCTTTTAAATTACATTTCTTTAACTAACTGATCCAACTAATAGCCTGAGAAAATTTAATTAACTGAATTATGAATCCAATTGATATTTAATATATATTTCTGTAAGAAACTTTCACAGTAAGATACTTGAACTGAGTATTAATCTTCAGCTGTTTATACTTGAAAAAACACTGAATTGGTCCTCAGAATGACACCCAAGCTTAATATCATCATTAGTAATAATACTGTTGTCTCTGCTTCTGTTCCATTAGCTCCTGATCCTTTCTTGGGGTGTACACACTTCTCAGCATTCCTCTTCAATTTTTCATAAGCTTCTGTACTTTCACTTTCCATTGCCTCAGACCTTTTTAGAAAACCAAGTGTTTCTCTCTGAAGCAGAATTAAAGTATTACATTGTAGCAACACATACCAGAATCATATTAAGTAAGAATTGAAAATACTGGTTAATTAATCAATTCAGTGTATAATCTTATGGATGAAAATGGGCCAACAGACTCATGTAGCGCTTGATTAATAAGAACCTTCTACACCAGGATGACATATCAATCCTTTCTTCCTCTCTTAACACTTATAATATTGGAATAGGGGATTTTTTAAACAATTGAACTGTGGGACTGTCAATTGGACTTTAACTTTAGAGTTAATGGTTTAGCAGGATACTAGAGTGACTCATGTCCAGCTGGGCCATGCATACGTTTGGACACAAAGTCAATAAAGTTAAAACTCATATCAAATGAAATATTTTACAATATTATGCCTTACCCTGAACAGAAGATCCTCTGTGTTATTAAATGGTTTATACAGATTAAAAATATTCGCAAAGTAACCACTAGTATACCCAAACCATTCATCTAACTCAAGCAGTGTGAGAGACAGATCTCTTGATTCAGTTCTGGACTGATTTCTCCTTGCAACCACCTATAAAATAGTAAATTCATGAGAAGAAAATGTTATCATCTACAGCACTTGAAATAAAACCTAGCTCCTCCTTAAAACATAGATTCAAGCACATGCACAATATATGAGACTGTTATATAATAGACAGGAAAGAATGAAGTTGTTTGCTGCTAATTATAGTTTTTTATTTACAACTATAAATCTTATCAATTTAAATGAATGAATTAACTCGTAATCAGTCTGATCAAGTCAGTATAGGGAATAGTGGTATATCTTTGGGCTATCAAATGATATTGGTTTTTAATTCTCCATATTTTATGTAACAGCATTATATAAAAAAAAATATCATTTTAAAGATGGTAAAATTCACAGTGTTTTAATATAACATTCTTATATAGTTTAAAATCTGGAAAAATTAGCCATACTGAATATATTAATTAGGAATCTTTACCTAAGTCCGAAGGATTTCTGGTTCCTCACAAATTTGAATGTTGAAATCAACAGAGCAGAGCTGCTGTAAGGTTAACCATAGATTGATTTGTACAAAAGTTGAAAAAATACATCTTTTCATATGGTGGTTGTGCTGAAATGAAACTAGAAACTTCCCTTCCACAATTTCCTTCTCTGCAAATGAATATGCATGAATATTAAAGCCACAGACAATGGCTTCACCTCTGTGACAACGCTGGTCATTACAACTGTTTTGTATGTAGAATGAACATTAATTAATTTCTTGTTAACAAGAAACATACCTCTCCTCCTGTAACGACAGCCAGTGCACAGTCATCATCTGGAATTGCAGTAAGTGGCACTTTTGTTCCATTGCGGCACATTATTCTGTACTTCTGTGCAAAGTCTTTAGGCAACATTGTATCTTCTGCAGAATGAGAATTAATATGTGTCACTACTCTGACCTTGTCACATCAAACATTTTATGGTGGATGGACAGTTGACAATTATTCGCTGAATCTCCAACCTGGTTGACCACACATTGTTGTTTGCCTGTGACTGCTTATTTAATATATCCACAATTATTCAAGAAAGTTTTATGGAACCTGGAGGTTCATTACCACATTCAGAAGAGCCTTTCATTTGTCCCTATCCTGAGCCAGATGAATGGAGTTCACACTTTATCTATTTTAATATTATCCTTATTATTTCATACATCATGAACTTCACCTGAAGTCACCCTAGACCGAACATGAGTCTCCAAAGTAAGAAGCCAACATCTAAAAACTTGAGCTATGGCACAATGTGTAAAGTACAGGTATAATCTTATTTACTCTGAATTTGTAGTTACTTAGGAAAGCGTTAGGACTAGAGTTTATTTACATTCCACAGATCCTTCTTTGGGCTAAACTAAAGGATGTAGGTCATGTCATAATACAATTACAGAACTTATTTCACATATAGATATATATAAACTTGAAAATTTTCAGTACAAGTACAAAACCTAATTTCACATATAAAAATCATTTACAGAGTAGGAGTGAGTTGAGGTAATATTTTACAGAAGGCTTGAATACTTTTATATCATGATTAAACTTTCAATTGTAGGTGGAAGATTACTGAATAACTTGATACCTGAATAGTATATTCCTTTTTTATATTTGGTGTGGTTAGTATTTGGTATTTATGTTTTGTGTTTAAATTGCACACATCTGTATTTCTTTGAAAGTTGTCAAAGTTTTCCACCAAAATTGATAAGACAGTAAATTTCCAAAATAATTTTCTATAAGAGAGACTGCTTTTAACACCTGCCATTATTTTAATCATTTTTTTAATTTAAAATACTTTATTACCATCTGTTGAATTTTGTCAGAAGATTAATCCATACAACAGTACAGAGTGGAAGTAAGTGAAGTAAACTAATTTTAAAGTATATATTGTTGTGAGATGTACAACTGCCCTCATGACAAAGCATGCAGAGCCTAGTTTGGTATTAATATAGTCAATATTTTCCAATTTAAGTTACTATCAATTTGTAAGCCAAGGGATTTGTTTGCTTTTACTTTCTCAATTAATTTATTGACAAAACCTATATTTAAACTAGGACATGTCTTGTTCTCAGTAAAACATTTTATGCAGTTTGTTTTACGAACATTTAGTGCCAATTTGTTAGCTTTAAACCATTTGTTTAGGTTGGCAAATACATCATTCATGATATTTTGAAGTTCGTCAAATTCTGGATGTATAATAATGATACCTGTATCAGCAAAGAAACGTGGTACAACAGATTACTCATTTTAGTCATTTGTTGTTTGAATGTAATAAGTGGAGTTTGATGGATATTGTATATGTTATTATGGGTGAGAAAAAAGGTTACAGAACATTTTTAAAAGAAGAACAAATTAAAGGAATGGGAAAAGGATACAGGAGAAAGAAGGAACATGTATGAAAGTAATGAAAGAAGGAGTATAGGAGATAAAGATATGAAATAAATCATTCCCTATTGAATTTAAACAGACTTCTATACTATTACAGCTATAGCACTACATACATTTGCCCATTAAGCCTAAAAATCACACAGTCTTAGTAATACAGATAGAGAGAGAGAGAGTGAGAGAGAGAGAGTGTGTGTGTGTGTGTGTATATATGTAAAGTATAAATCTATCCATACTAAAAATACCACTAAAATTCTGATCCATACATTTCAGAAGTAGTTCGTAATCAGCTTTCTTAAATATTGTCTGTAATGTTTAATATTTTTATACTCACGTAAATTCACTGACAAATTGTAAGAATTTATGAATGCCACATCTGCTACTCCAGATGCCAAACAACGTAGAGCCCCAACATTATCATAGAATTTATTTCTAATTGTTGCAGCACAGGTTTCTTCATCAAAGAAGGGAATGTCTGAAACCACATCACACCAGTATTTAAAATGAGCCTGTACTAAGGTAATAGAATACAGAGCAAACAGATTATAGACTGTCTCAGTTTAAATAAACATTCACTTAAGATAAGAAAACTTTAGATATATTCAGTTATAAAAATGTTATTTTATATAAATTATATGTACATAGTACTGTTAGGTTAGGATTTTATTCAAATTAATACTGAAACAAGTTAAGAACTCCATATATAGTGTAAAAATTCTGGTGTGTTCAATATGTTAGAAATCATCTGTGCATCTTGACTGAGAGAGATCAGTATCAGCTACACTCATTGTTCTGTCAGCCATGTTATTTGGTCAGAGGAAAAATTATTTCAAGGCATATTTTTGAATTTCTTTTTGGGCCATGGGAATAGATATTGCAGAAATAAATGGACTTAAGATAAACACTTCAATCACTACAATTTATGTAAATATTACACATAGTTTTCTATAGGCAGTTTATATTTAAACAGTGCTTGAAAGTTCTCGTGGATAAAATCATCAAAACTATAATAGGAAAAGAAATGTTGACAAAATTACAAGATCCATAATACATTGTTGACCTTTATACCATAAAAGTGTACGTTCAGTTGATGGGTGTGGTGGATATCATCATGCATAGTGTTTCATGTATGGATCTTCACCCTTCATGTCATGAAACAATACTCATGTTCAGCTGATTATTATTTTAAGTGTGAAATAAAATACTATACATCATAATCACAGAGAAAGTCTATTGGGCAGTCTGTGAAATGAAAATTCTTTTGTACACTGGCCACTGATCCTATGTCCAAGGTCATCAGTCAGTCCAAAATCACTGATCTTAAGTATAAGATCATTGACCATAAGTCCAAGGCCACTGATACTAGCCCTTAAATCAATATGTAGGATTCCCCATTTAATTGCATTGATGCTTGTCTGATGGGGTGAAGACATCATCTGCCTTTGTTTTCATAATGGATGTCCTGTGTAGTTATGTGAGTGCTTGTCTACCTGAACATTCTCCACCCAATTACTTCTTCATGCAGAAACATATGTAGGTCTTCTTACAAGGAGAATGTTTTTATTTTTCCTAGCTCTACATCATGGAATTCTATGTGTGCTTAATTTCAGACTGAAACTCCATTTCTAAGGGGATTTAAATAACCATATTACAGGACTGCTGATCAGACTTTAACTCTGGGGTTAACAGTTTAGCAGTATGCTACTTGAATATATGGCCAGCTGGACAACTTGCAAGCTGTGATGCATAACCAATGAAACAAATCAGTTTAACATTGGACTGATAGTAAAAATTTTAATCATTGGTCCAGTGGTTAAAAATTATGAGAGAAAATAACAAACAGTATGATGACTAAAGAAGGTCTCTTCCATTTAAGGGAGTAGGCTACAAATATACCTAAGAAGTAGACTTTATCCAATTGTTTATCTTATTACTAAATATTTCATTTTCTTTATTATTGTAGTTTTTTCTCCAAGATGATCACTTACAGCTGCTGCCACTACTTGCTTCTTTGCAGAGGGCACACAGGTCAGTGTCCACAGAACTATGAAGTTGGTTTTTACTTCCTGGAGCACAGACAGATGCGAAGAAAGTACCCATTGATTCATCATATGGACATACTTTAGATTCTGAATCTGATGAATTTCTAATTGCTTCCACGAATGCAACCCATGCTGTTTGATAGAAAATAACAGACAAGCTTTAAATTATTAAGATTTACATAATATCAAATGCCACATCATTCAAAGTAACAGCCTCAGATTTAGTGTAATGTTAAGCCAATTTTTCCGTACATGGTCAGTGGCCAGTAAGCTCATTAACTCTTCACTATTAACCTTAATTAAAATAAACTTACAGCATTTATTTGACATTTATTTCAATCATTTCATTATGATCAGCAACCCAAAATATAATTTGCTAACAGAATTATAAGCATTGTATGTACCTGTATATAAGAAGATCGCTTTTGTAACACTTAAATTCACATGGAAACAATATTTTTTCCTAGTTTTAATACTTAATCAGATATTTTTACAGACAATATTTTATTTAATGTACACATTTAACATAATTATGATATTAAAAAATGTAACAAATGTGAGACACCATCCAGGAACACTACATTCTGTTCACCACTAACATCCTGCTTACTTTCACTCCAATATACAATGGGTATGTGCAAAACAAATGACAGCTAGCATACAGTATAGTTAACATTATTATGAACACTAATGCTATGTGCTTTGATCTAACTTGGGTTATTAGGTGATAAGACTTATCACAGGAATAAACTAGTACAGAAAAATGGAAGTATTATTTAAGAATTTAAATGTATTTTAAAAACAATGTAATTCTTACCTAATCCTGCAAATTCTGGGAAACATGCTTTCTTATTTTCCAGTTCACTCATGTTGGAAGCTGTTAAATTAAGATTAACCACTGCCACAATTTTGAAGTGTCCATCCTGAATTGTTTCTTGGTACATTACAGTTGTGAGGTTCGAGAAACTAAGAACAACAGAAGGAAAACAGAAAATGTAAGTAATTTTGGAAAGTAGATTCCTATAAGGACATATAAATAAAGTGGATAACCAAAGTTTGATTTTTGACAGGACAGGATATTTCAATTTTGTTTATAGGTGCGAAGATGTCTCTGTGATAAAGTACGCTGTAAAATTCTGCAAAAGTGGAAATCCAGAGAGGAACAATTTATACAAACACATACACAGGGTGTCCAAAAATGCATACACAGCAGCACCTTTTGTGGCTGTTTGTCAGTTACTTGCTCACTGTTGTCAATTTTGTCATAAAACTAATAGTGACCATTTCAAACACCTATACTAGATCTACCAATTCAGTAAGTGTCACTGCTGACATATGAAATGTTTATTAAAATATCTTTATTTCAGTCACTGAATGTGTGTATATACATTTTTGGGGATATTCTGTATATATCCATACATACTGCGTAGCTATGGGTCCAAGATTAGAACTGGTTCCAACAATGTCAGCATCCTTGTTTTTAATCTTCTTAAAACAATCTAGCTGGCTTGTTCCTTGGACACACTGCAACTCAGGAACAATTCCTTGAATAATTGCTGCCTGACGCAGCCATTCACACTTGTTGTTTTCTATATCAGATGTTGTGCACCACTTCACTGGTTCATGACAAGGCAGTGTTGTACCTGGTTCTGGAATCTCTCTACCTACAAAGAGTAACATCAAGAATTATATTACTATTTCTATTCCTTCCCTTTAGTTCTTTCATAAAACTTCAGGATGTCCATAATAACTTCTGTCCAACTCCTTATTTTATAATCAATAACAATAAAATTAACTGAAATTAAGTAACAATTTCTTTAGTGTGAAGTCATATTATTATGTACGTTAAGCATCTTCCGGAGACATAATCTATGATTAATAATTTTCTGAGAACTACTAACAGATTTGTGAGTTTAACAGTCCTATATGATTTATCTAAAATGATCTTAAAATTATCAAAACTAATACCTCCCATTATAAAACTCATAAATAAGGAAAGAGGGCAGGATATTAGACTATAATTTACCTCGTAAAATGAAAGACCTGAGAGATTCTTTATTAGCTCTTATAACCAACTTGTTCCCGTTTCCAGTTATCATAATTCTCAGAGTGTCTACCCATTTACTTGATCTCTTTAGCCTCAAATTTGTAGGTAGCCATACTTCCAGTGTACTCATTAGACCTGGAGCAGTTTCATTACTGTAAAATATAATTTAATTATTATACAAAAAGACCAAAAGAAAAGACTTAAAATCTGTGTTCAGGCATTCTTAATTCTAAAATAACATATGAAACATTTTTCAAAACAGTTTTTCATACCCCACATGAAAGCTGCATATATAATTTTCCCATTAATCTTTCATTTGAACTTAGTGGCCTGCTGAATAGTTAATTATACAAACCAAAGAACAGATAATAGCTAATTCACAAATACCTATATTAATGTGTAATTTTTATTTATACCAAGGTGCATTTGAAAAAATTATCACATATTGGTCATCATACTCAAAAGTAACACATGGCCTTACTGACTCTCATCATCACTGTCTGTCTAGGAAGGTGAATGAATCTATTTCTCTTGTTGCACTACTTATGAATCAGATTCTACCAATCTCATGAATATTTAATATAAAACATAACCCCATAATCAACAAGTTTTGACATCTTCAGAGGTAAAGATGCGAGTGAAAAAATTTGCACTAAACAATTAATTGAACTTGAATATTTTTTGATGGAAAGAAAAGAGAGGATTAGTTTGCTCTTTAATTATGAATAAATGTTGTTGTCCATGTCACCATGATAGGAATAAATGTGTTACACTCTTGAATAAATTATACAGAACAATGATATGATCAAACTCCCTTCTGGTCTAAAGATGATAAATTAATCAGTGGTGCACTATTCATGTAACTGAAACAAAATGCACTTACTCTTTAACAATAATAGATTTCCATGGTTGCTGAATCCACGTGCAGGGTTTCACAGTCATGGAAATATGTTCGATAGATCCATTTGGACACAGATACCTATAATTCTCTGGATTAGAACGTGCACTTCCCCCTACCAGCTAAAATTATCAAGGACACATAATCAGTATTTACAAGGATTTTACAATTGCTCAGTTAATCAAAGACAATTAAAGATAGTTTGGGTTAATACATAATTATAATAGCAATGGTAGTGACACCAGGATACTGTAGTAACAATAATATATGTCTGTACTTGAAATAAAAAAGTATGTCTGCATGTGAAGATTTATGCTGAAAATAAAAAGGCATTATTTTTCTTTTTAATTCCCTTTTCAGTTATAGTAACATGCAAACGTATATATACTGATGTAATAACCTTTCTTTCATCAAAATATATGCTAGTTCTGCTTTCTTCCCAACAAAATTAGCCCCTCTCATTAGCCACCTTGCTGACTAATTTGATAAGACTATGTGGTTAGGAATACAGTGCTCTCCTACCCTCAACAGTAGTTTCTATAAACTATTGCATTCACTGGCAATGTTCTGCATTGTTTCCTAACAGTTCAATTTTAACAAATAAAATAAATGAGTTGACATTGTATGATTCTATAAAGGTGTGGGACAATGGTTAATTAATTACAAGAATATTGTGTTAGTCAATGTTCATAATGTTAAAGCTATTCTGTGTGACTTACTCCAAAGTATTTCTGTACATATGAGTATGCCTCATATACAACATCTCCACCTTTCTTCGTGAGACAGTCAAGAGCAGAATACTGGTTGCCATCTCTCTCAGCATTGTGGGAACATCCATTTTTTGAATCACATAATTCACATAATTTTGAATACTGTTGCTCTGTAAACACATAAAAAGGTATTTACTCAGTAAGATTTGAGATTCTCATGAATGGGATGCTACATTTGTAATCTTGTTGAAAATGATTGCTGTTTCAGGGGACCACACTGCCTCCATCATCAGGGTCACCATGGAATTATTCCTAGAGGCTGTAAATTGAACTTGCATAGTTAACTAATATTAAGGTATGTTCAGAACTAAAAGTTACAAAGATGTGACTATTATATTTACCATATATACATATTATACATAGATATAAAGCTAAAATGAGTGAGAAGGTTCTACCAAATTATGCATTTCTTCACACATTTAACTTCATGAAGAATTTATAAAACTTCAAGTTCACAAACTCAAAAAGTAATGTCAAAATGAAAAATAACTACCTATTTAATTATACATTATATTTTAAGTTTGGAAGAACTCTAACTGACAAACTACAAATATTTTTTAAGCTGGAAATGAACATATACACTGATAAATGCCATTTACTTAGTTCCAGAGCTGTTATTTAAGAAACTATTTCCAGTGCTGTAAAATATACTATAATTCCCAGTACTGATACTTGCAAGAACAAATTCCCAAATCTACATAGTCACTTAAAACACTCACTAAGCTTCTTATCCAATCTATTATCCACTACCCATTCTCCAGGTCGACATGCACTTGTGAAGAAAGTAGATAAAGCACTCAGTTCATCTTCTGCAGCTGTCCTCAAGGATTTATCACATCCAACAGTACTGCTCCTGTTCAGGACCACTCTTTCAAAATGCTGTTCAAACACAGAGATACAAATTACTGTATAAAGCGATTTGTTAAGGCAAGCACTTTACGATCTTTAAGATGATCACTCTTTGCCAGTCATTTATCACTGCTTATTCAACATATTCACAGCTACAAAGTAAAGAACCAAACAAAATTAATTACAATAACAGTCAAAAACATACAGAGTCATAGTCAGTAAGCAGGAAGATGAGAATATGCCTAGGCCCCTTTAGAACCAGATATTTTAGTACCTTATATTTACATTACCTTTAGTACTCTGTCAGTCCATAACTGAGACTTGCTGAAACCTGGGTGACAAAATTTCTTCCCTCTTAAAGCTTCAAGAGTTCCAGGGAAGCTTTCTTTAACAACTGCAACTGTTGTGAAGTGGAAATCTTCTGCAAGAAGTATTATAAATTGTAAATATTAACTATAGCCCACATACTGCCTAAGCATTTTGTACCATTAAACAAATAAACAAAACAAATATTTGTTTCTGCAGGCATGTTAAACTTGCGTCTGCTTGCAGTAGATTTTTTCTAGCATCTCATTTTCTGTCATCATGGCAAGAGAACAAGTCACTAATCATTATCTCCGGAGACAGGGATTAGTTGTATTGATTGGGCCCAACAGAGTAGGTCTTACCCAAAGACGGAGATAGACTCCCATCTTCGAACGTCGTGGTTTCTATTGATTTTATTTAGTCTTGGATGATGGATATTCAGTAATCATTATCATAATCTTTTAAAGCTGAAGCTCACCTACATAATATTACATGCAAAGTTCACATTGTTTACTTATAGCTCAAGAACAGGCATACCAATTTGTACCAAACTTGGCATGCCTTGAGACCATCAAGTGATGATTTACTGGTCAAAACTGGAAAAGGTGTCCTGAGTTTGATTCCCACTGAGGGCATTTCCGGTAGCTCCGAATCTGAGCACAGTAGATGAATGGCGCCTGCACCATTGTCGTTTGTTTCGAAAAGGAGATTGCAGAAGAAAAGGCCAGAAACTCAAAAAACTATCCTGATTTTGATTCCTAGTGAAGATGGTTTCTGTGACTCGGATAATAAACACGACAGAACAATAGAGCCAATACAATAGTTATTTGTTTCGTAAAGGAGACTGTAGAAAGAAGCGTCACAACATGAAAAACTGTCATGAGTTCGAGTTATGAGGAAGTTCTATGCATACCCAAAACTAAGCACGAGAAGAATAGCGCCAATGTCAAATTTGCTAGTTTTGGAGCGGTGACTGCAGAACTAACGTCACAAACGTGTAAACTCTCCTGGGTTCGAGTATCGGTAAACATTTCGGGTTTAGGGATATTCTTTGTTTACAATAATCAACGGTACGTGATCCTCGGGAAGATATACATGACACATGCGAACCAACGACGAGGTTCTACGATACGCCTTGCGACAATGACGATTAATGTCATCTTTTGCGAAGATAAATCCAGGAAT